CAGAGCAGCAGCTGCCAGGCTGGGAGCGGCCAGGCCCGGAGCAGCCGGGTCCTGTGCGGCCAGGCCCGGAGCAATGGTTGCCAGGGAGCGGCCAGGCCCAGAGCAGCCGGGTCTGGTGCGGCCAGGCCCGGAGCAATGGCTGCCAGGCTGGGAGTGACCAGGCCCAGAGCAGCCGGGTCTGGTGCGGCCAGGCCCAGAGCAGCGGTTGCCAGACTGGGAGCGGCCAGGCCCGAAGCAGCCGGGTCTGGCGTTGCCAGGCCCGGAGCAGCAGCTGCCAGGCTGGGAGCGGCCAGGCCCAGAGCAGTAGCAGCCAAGTCCAGAGCAACTAGGTCGGGAGTGGCAGTGACCAGACCTGGAGCAGCTGGTTGTGGAACGAACCAGAGCAACAGAGGCCAGGCCCAGAACAGCCAGGCCCAGAACAGCTCGCTCCTCGCCTGCCCCTGCCCCACGGCTGCCTCTCAGACATGGCTGGAAACTTTTGCGGGAACTTGAGGGTCTGTTGAATCAAGTGATGAAGGCTTAGATCTGGATGTGTTGAGTTAGTATAGTGCTGGGGTGTTGATCTGTGAGTGCCTTGGGTGGGGCCTGGATGAGGCTAGTTGACCTATTGGGAAATGTCTTTTGTGTGAAGTTTATCATTGGTATGTGGAGGTATTATTGATATGAGAAAATGCTAAGTAACTGATTTACTATCTGAAAAGGGATTTACTATCAGGGAAAGGGAGGAAGGAAGAGACTGAACATAAACTGTGCACCTATGGTTGAGGACAATGGGGGATGGGGAGGGGGTGGAGGGTCGGGTGGGAACCTGGTGGAGGGGGGAAGAAATGAGGAACCTTTGTAATAATATGAACAATAAAGACTGATTTAAAAAAAAAAAAAAAAAAAAAAGACAAGAGGAGAAACAGCCCAGAGATGGAAGATGCTGACGACGCCTTGCCATACTAGCAGACAGCAGATGTGCGTCGCTGCAGGTTGTCCAGGACCAAACCAGAGGTCGGACCTGCATTGCCACTATTTTTCCACCATTGCTGACATGGACTCAGAACTGTTGGACATTAAAATTTGGACTAAAAAAAAACTGTTTGACATTGAATCTGGGATTCAAAAACTGTTGGCCCAGAAAGAAATGTACTGCAGACTGATTTCATTTGACTCTCAGCGTTGCTTGTTTCATTTTTTGTTTATTTCTAGTCTACATATGCAAAATTTTTTAAGGAAAACGGGGGAGATGCTGGAAACCAAGTCAGTTTCACTGAAAAAGAGATGTTGACAGGAAGCCAGGAAGGCTGGTCAACAACCTTAATTGCTCTAACCTTTAGTTGAGATTTTGTTAGCTGAAGCAGAATCTACCTTGTCTGTGAAAGTGTCTGTTATTTCCGGCCTAAGGGCTACATGTAAATGTCTGTTTATGTTGCCTAAGATGTCTTCCCCAAAGCCTCCATAAAAGGGGGTGGCAGGGCCAGAGCAGTAGCAGTTCTCCCACTAGAGTTGGACTACCGCCTGGCCCCCCAAATCGCCAAATTGAATTTCTTCCAGTCTCTTTTCATTTGTGTGCAGCCCTTCTCCAGAACCTGAACCCTGAATTGGAACACTTTCCACGCGGGCCGTGAAAGAGAGTCCTATACATCGACATTTCTATCTCTCTCTCTCTTCCTCTCTGATAAAAATCAATAAAATATTTTTTAAAAGATCTTGATATAATATTACATGCGATAAACATTTCAAGAGGAAAAAGGATTTTAAGTATAAATATATTATCAAAACTGTACTAATATAGTATGACAGTACAAAAGTTGTAGAAAATATTAAAAATCTGCAAATAGCAGGATTGCTTCTAGTCTATTTTTTTCTCTGGCTCTATTTTTGTTCATCAGTTTATGTTGTTCATTATATACACACGAGTGAGATCATTTGATATCTTTTTCTGACTAGCTTATTTTGCTTAGCACAATGCTCTCTAGTTTCATTCATGCTGTTGCAAATGGTAAGAATTCCTTCATTTTTACAGCAGCGTAGTATTCCATTGTGTAGATGTACCAGTTTTTTAATCCACTCATCTGCTGATGGGCATTTAGGCCGTTTCCAATCTTAGTTATTGTAAATTGTGCCACTATGAACATAGGGGTGCATATATCCTTTCTGATTGGTGTCTCTGATTTCTTGGGATATATTCCTAGAAGTGGATTACTGGGTCAAATGGGAGCTCCATTTTTAGTTTTTTGAGCAAACTTCATACTGTTCTCCACAGAGGCTGCACTTTCAGTCTGAAGGCTGACACCCTATCCACTGAGCCAAACTGGTCAGGGCAAATTTCTTTTTCTTTTTTTAAATTATGTTTTATTGATTTTTTTACAGAGAGGAAGAGAGAACCATAGTTAGAAACATCAATGAGAGAGAATCATTGATCAGCTGCCTCTTGCACACCCCCTACTGGGAATGTACCCGCAACCAAGGTACATGCACTCGACCGGAATCATACCTTTCAGTTTGCAGGCTGACGCTCTATTCACTGAGCCAAACAGGTCAGGGCAAACTTCTTAATCAGTAAGACTATCAGAAGGATTTTGAAGGACAAAATTCTTTAAATGTTTTACTTCAAGACTTAAATAAACTGAATGTGAACAACTTATTTAAAAAAATGGTTTTGACATTCCACAAAGCTGACATGTTTTGTAGCCAGAGGTGAATTCCAAGGCAGTAAGAGCTGACTCGCCAAGTGAATCCCATGCCGGCCCTTCCCTCACTCCCACCTTCTCCCCAAGAGGCCAGATGGAAACTGCTTCACATTCCTCTGGAACGTGTCCTAATCTCTACTTTCATCGACTAAGCAGACTATTTCCGTCGGGGAATTCTGATTGGTGAGTGACTTTGCCTGGTGGTTGTTTCTCCCGCTGGGCTGGCGCCCTGTCCTGCAGCCCCGCCATCCGTGCCCGCCCTGTGTGCGGGGCCATGTGTGCCCACCGTCCCTGCCCGCCGTGTGTGCCTGTATGTGCCTGCCGAGTGAGCAGGGCCGTGTGTGCCCACCGTCCCTACCCGCTGTGTGTGGGACCGTGTATGCAGGGCCATGTGTGGGGGCCGTGTGTGCCCGTGTGGGGCCGTGTGCGTGGGGCCGTGTGTGCCCACAGGGCCGTGTGTGGGGCCATGTGTGCGGGACCGTGTGTGCCCGCAGGGCCGTATGTGGGGGGCCGTGTGCAGGGCCCTGTGTGCCCGCAGGGCCGTGTGTGGGACCGTGTGTGCAGGGCCCTGTGTGCCCGCAAGGCCGTGTGTGGGACCGTGTGTGCGGGGCGGTGTGCACGGGGCCGTATGTGCGGGGCCGTGTGCGTGGGGCCATGTGTGCCCGTGTGCGCAGGGCCGTGTGCGCGGGGCCGTGTGCGCGGGGCCGTGTGCGCGGGGCCGTGTGCGCGGGGCCGTGTGCGCGGGGCCGTGTGTGCCCGTGTGTGCGGGGCCGTGTGCGCGGGGCCGTGTGTGCCCGTGTGCGCGGGGCCGTGTGCGCGGGGCCGTGTGTGCCCGTGTGTGCGGGGCCGTGTGCGTGGGGCCATGTGTGCCCGTGTGCGCGGGGCCGTGTGTGCCCGTGTGCGCGGGGCCGTGTGTGCCCGTGTGTGCGGGGCCGTGTGCGTGGGGCCATGTGTGCCCGTGTGTGCGGGGCCGTGTGTGCCCGTGTGCGCGGGGCCGTGTGTGCGGGGCCATGTGTGCAGGGCCGTGTGCGTGGGGCCATGTGTGCCCGTGTGCGCGGGGCCGTGTGCGGGGCCGTGTGTGCCCGTGTGTGCGGGGCCGTGTGCGTGGGGCCATGTGTGCCCGTGTGCGCGGGGCCGTGTGTGCCCGTGTGCGCGGGGCCGTGTGTGCCCGTGTGTGCGGGGCCGTGTGCGTGGGGCCATGTGTGCCCGTGTGTGCGGGGCCGTGTGTGCCCGTGTGCGCGGGGCCGTGTGTGCGGGGCCATGTGTGCAGGGCCGTGTGCGTGGGGCCATGTGTGCCCGTGTGCGCGGGGCCGTGTGCGGGGCCGTGTGTGCCCGTGTGTGCGGGGCCGTGTGCGTGGGGCCATGTGTGCCCGTGTGCGCGGGGCCGTGTGTGCCCGTGTGTGCGGGGCCGTGTGTGCCCGTGTGTGCGGGGCCGTGTGCGCGGGGCCGTGTGTGCCTGTGTGTGCGGGGCCGTGTGTGCCCGTGTGTGCGGGGCCGTGTGCGCGGGGCCGTGTGCGCGGGGCCGTGTGTGCCTGTGTGTGCGGGGCCGTGTGTGTCCATGTGCGGGGCCGTGTGCGTGGGGCCCTGTGTGCCTGCGTGTGCGGGGCCGTGTGCGCGGGGCCGTGTGCGCGGGACCGTGTGCGCGGGGCCGTGTGTGCGTGGGGCCCTGTGTGCCTGCGTGTGCGGGGCCGTGTGTGCCCATGTGCGGGGCCGTGTGCGCGGGACCGTGTGCGCGGGGCCGTGTGTGCCCATGTGTGCGGGGCCGTGTGTGCCCATGTGAGGGCCGTGTGTGCGGGGCCGTGTGTGCCCATGTGAGGGCCGTGTGTGCGGGGCCGTGTGTGCCCATGTGAGGGCCGTGTGTGCGGGGCCGTGTGCGCGGGGCCCTGTGTGTCCGTGTGTGCGGGGCCGTGTGCGGGGCCCTGTGTGCCCGCCGTGTGGGGAGCTGCGGGGGGCGTCAGGCATTTCCTCCTGGCCTGAAGGAGTGAAGAACCTCACCTCCCACCACAGAAGCTTCCGGTCCGAGGTTTATTTCTAGGGTCATCTGGGGACTCACACCTCCGGCCCGGCCCCTCCCCGCGGGCCCAGGCGCCCGGCCCAGGTCTCCTCCGGGCGGCTCCTCCGGGCTCTCCCAGCCGGGCTCCCCGAGGGCAGCCCGGGCCCCGGCGCGGAGGAGGCAGGGTGGGCCGACACTGAAACACATCCGGACGTGACGCCGTGAGGACAGAGGGGCCGGGCGGGCGGGAGACGCCAGGCCTCCTGGGCACGGGCTTCGCTTCGGGGCCAGAGGCTGCAGCTCCCACGGAAAAGGGCCAGACCGAGGGCTCACACCAGGAAGGACGAGGTCTGTCTGAACTCCCCCTGTGGAGACGACTGTCAATCTTTCCCCTCCCCCCCGCTCCCCCTCCCCGCTTCTTCCCCTCCCCCCACTCCCCTCCCCCACTCCCCTCCCCCTCCTTCCCCTCCCTTCTCCCCCTCCCCCTTCTTCCCCTCCCCCACTCCATCCCTCCCCCTCCCCCCAATCCCCCTCCCCATTCCCCCTGCCCCCACTCCCCTCCCCCCACTCCTCCCCCTCCCCTCCCCCACTTCCTCCCCCCACTCCTCCTCCCCCTCCCACCACTCCCCCTCCCCCACTCCCCCTTCCCCCTCCCCCTCCCCGCTTCTTCCCCTCCCCCCACTCCCCCTCCCCCTCCCCCCTTCTTCCCCTCCCCCGCTCCCCCTCTCCTTCCCTCCCCCTCCCCCCACTCCCCCTCCCCCATTCCCCCTCCCCCCACTCCTCCCCCTCCCCCCCCACTTCCTTCCCCCCACTCCTCCTCCCCCTCCCGCCACTCCCCCTCCCCCACTCCCCCTTCCCCCTCCCCGCTTCTTCCCCTCCCCCACTCCCCTCCCCCCACTCCCCCTCCCCTCCCTCCTCCTCCCCCTCCTTCTCCTCCCTTCTCCCCCTCCCCCTCCTCCCTCCTCTCCCTTCTCTCTCTCCTCCTCCTTCTGCTCTGCCTCCCCCTCCTTCCCCTCCCCCCACTCCCCCTTCCTTCTCCCCCCTCCCCCCATTCCCCTCCCCCCTCCCCCCTCCTCTCCCTTCTCCCCCTCCTCTCCCTCCTCCCCCTCCGTCCCCTCCCTTTCTCCTCCCTCCCCCTCCCCTCCCTCCCCCCTCCCTTCCCCTCCCCTCTCTCCCTCCCTTCCCCTCCCCTCTCCCCTCCCCTTTCCCCTTCCTTCTCCCCTTCCCCCTCCTTCCTTCCCCCTCTCCCTCCCATCCTCCCCCGTTTCCCTCCTCCCCCTCTTCCTCCTTCCCCCACCCCCTCCTCCTACCCCCCTCTCTTCCCCTTCTCCTCCTCCTCTTCCTTTTGGGCAATATTTTCCCATTGATTTTTAAAGAGTCAAAAGGAGGAGGAGAACAGAGAGAGAGAGACACCCATTGGTTGCCTCCTGCACAAGCCCCACCCAGGCCAGGCATCCTGCAACCAAAGTCCAGGACCTTGACTGGAATCGAACCCAGGACCCTTCAGGTGTTGAGCTGATGCTCTATCCACTGAGCCACACCGGCCAAGGCCCTCTCCTCTTCTGCGGTTCACACACAGAGCACACACCAGGCCCCAGAGGCCTCCCCCCCCAACACTTGCCTCGCTCCGAGCGGTGGGCTGGCTGTAAATGACCTTCTTGCTCTCGGTCCTGCAGAAGACGGACAGTCAGACCCAAGTCCCTCTCCTTGCCAACCTTTCAGGTCAAAACTGAGAACCTGACAGAATCACGAGGCCTCGGGGACGGGGCGGAGGGGAGGGCAGCGCAGGCCGCAGTGAGCGGGAAGCTCTCCCGGCCAGGCCAGGCCGCCCCCTCGGCCCCCGCCCTGGGCCTCTCGCCCCTTGCCCCACCTCGGAGGGCCGGCACGGCCTCACTCACCCTTTCTTCTTCCCTGGAAGAGAAGAAACACGGTGAGTGTCAGCGGCGCAGAGGCAGCTCGGCCCGCGGGAGCGAGCCACAGGGGACGGAGGGGAGGGCCTGAGGCCAAGGACTTACTGTCAAAGTAGCCCCGGCTGTAGGCGAACCAGATGCCGAAAACCAGGAGTCCCAGGAGGAGGAGTGTGACGACGACGGCTGCCACGATGCCCCCGACGTTCAGCTCCGCTAGAGACACAAGGATGCTCGCTCGCGGTGCCCACCACGCGGTCCGCCCGCTGACGGGGCCGTGTCTGGCCGCCCTGCCCCCGCCCCGCCCGCTGACAGGACCGTGTCTGGCCGCCCTGCCCCTGCCCCTGCCCGCTGACAGGACCGTGTCTGACCACCCTGCCCCTGCCCCTGCCCGCTGACAGGACCGTGTCTGACCGCCCTGCCCCTGCCCCCGCCCGCTGACAGGACCGTGTCTGACCACCCTGCCCCTGCCCCTGCCCGCTGACAGGACCGTGTCTGACCGCCCTGCCCCTGCCCCTGCCCGCTGACAGGACCGTCTGGCCGCCCTGCCCCTGCCCCTGCCCGCTGACAGGACCGTGTCTGACCGCCCTGCCCCTGCCCCTGCCCGCTGACAGGACCGTCTGGCCGCCCTGCCCCCGCCCTGCCCCCGCCCCGCCCGCACGCACCGGCCTCCATGCGCACCGCGGCGGACATCACGGGGCTCCCGTACCCGTTCTGGGCCTGGCAGGAGTACTCTCCGGTGTCAGAGGCCGAGATGGGGTCGAAGACCTGGAGGCAGAAAACCACCCTGTCCTGGCGAGAAGCCACACGCCTGCCTTTTATGTCTCTGGATCCTAAAGCCCAGCAAACCCTGCTTTCGGTCCTCCCCCACCTTCAGGGGTTCCGAACCCGGGCCCCCCGTTTTCAGCCCACCCACCGTACCAGCTCCCCTGTCTTGGGGTTCAGGCTGTAGGAGGAGTTGCTGAAGGCACGGTTTCTCTTGGGTTCCAGAGGCATCAGGGCCCCGTCCCTGTACCACAGGTACTCAGAGGGTGGGGAGCCGTCCGGCTCCGAACAGGTCAGCACTGCCCGGCTCCCGATGGTGGCGGAGGAGGGGATGTTGACCGTGGGTTTGGACGGCGGCACTGGAAAGAAGAGAAGATGCTGACCACAGGGCAGGGAGGGCTCCTGGAGGCCAAGTGGCTGGTGAAGGCGGTACCCCAGCCACCATGCTGGCCTCCCTCCCTCACTGTGACCGAGTCCCCGCCCAGAGCCTGCACCACAGTGAGCTCCCCGGCTCGGCAGAGCCCACCCAGCATTGGGGGAAGCAGCACTGCCCAGTGGGCACAGGAGGCATGGCACTTACCAAGGACAATGAGCTGGACGCTGACCTCCCCGTAGGCGGTGCCACCTTCATCAGAGACCATGCACGTGTACATCCCCGTATCCTTCCGGGTCACGGAGTGAAAGGTGATGCCAGTGTTGGAGAAGGTGACTCTGTCCTCAAAGGGAGCTGCGGGGAGAGGAACCAGCGCAGGGGAGCTGGAGAGCTGGGGAAGCTGTGCCCGTGACGCTGAGGCAGGTAAGCAGGAGGTGAGAAGGCCCTGGGAACCTGGCACCCAGGGGGAGGACTCACCTGTGATCTTGTTGTTATAACAAACGAGGCTGGTGATGTCGCCCTGGGCAAACTTCCACTCCACTCGGGGAGAGGAGAAGCCCGAGTAGGAGCAGGACAACTTGGCGGCTACAGACGAGATCAACGTGAGTGGGAGGAAGCAGCAGCAAAGAGAGAAGACAGGACCCTGGCCGGCTCCACCCTCCCAGCTCCTCCCAACTCACGTTTATCCTCGGGAACTCTGACCTCGGGGTTGGAAGTGTGCACGGCACCCCTGCCTGGCGCCAGCAAGCCTAGGAGGGGAGGCTCCCATCAGGAGGGCAGCACCTGGCAGTGGCCCTGAGCCCCCAAGGTGCAAGGACTCAGAGTCAAGCTCTTGCCCATCTCACACCAATATCCTATCTAATAAAAGAGTAATATGCAAATTGACCATCACACCAAGACACAAGATGGCTGCCCCCATGTGGACACAAAAGGACGCAGGGGAGGGCAGTTGTGGGTGACCAGGCCTGCAGGGAGGGCAGTTGGGGGGGACCAGTATGTGAGATCAGTCCAGCAGGGAGGGCAGTTGAGGGGGGTCAAGGCCAGCAGGGAAGGGCAGTTAGGAGCCAGCAGTCCTGGATTTTGAGAGGGATGTCCAACTGCTCATTTAAGCCTGCTCCCACTTGGCCTAAACAGATGGTTGGACATCCCTCAAGGAGTCCCAGATTGGAGAGGGTGCAGGCTGGGCTGAGGGGACCCTCCTCTCCCCCATGCACAAATTTTATGCACCAGGCCTCTAGTCTTAAATAATCTTCAAATGCTTTTGCTACAATTGCAAGCCAATACTTCTGTTATTAGTGGAAATAAAATATTTCTCTCAAATGTAATTTATTTCATTTTTTATTATCCCCCGTCCTCCGACTCCCAGTAATCTAATTAGATTCCCACTAATCGAGGGCAGCTCCCCAAAAAAGCATTTCAAGGTTCACAACTTCTCCGCCATCCACCGGCAGAGACCAGCGGCCTCGGAGGAGCACTCACGGGGGATGGGGTGCATCTCGGCGTGTTTCTCACACATGATGTCGCTTGACCCTTGAAACAAGCAGGACAGACGAGCAGGACCAGTATTATCACCCAATTTTACACACAGAACAGAGGCAAAAACCTAAGGTCACCTTGCTGGTTCTGAGATGGAGCCAGGACCAGAACTGGGCTCAGAGAATTTCACCAGCATCTCCTCCTGCCCAAGGACAAGGAAGGACGGTGTGTGGTGGGTGGAGAGACAGGCAGCAGGCTGCCCGGAGCGGCCAAGGCTACCACTAGACGCAACAAGAAACTCTTTGTTCTCATTCCTGTTTCCAGCACTCAAACTCACGGAGCTTCACGTGCAGCCTTGAGTTGAACCCTGCCTTCTGAGGTAAATGCAAACGCCCTGACACATGCGGCATTTTCCTTTACACACAACCGAGCGGGCCTTGACCGTGAGCTTCCTCTGCTCATCTGAAGGATGAGCTAGAGGCTCTCTACCCTCTAAGGCCCCTTCCCCCCCCTCCATCTCTCAACCCTCTTCTCTTCTCCTGCTCGTTGTCTGTCTGTGTATCTATCTCTATTCTCCTCTCTGTCATTAGTGTTTATGTGCATTCATTTTAATTTTACAAACACTGTGAATTAATCCAGGTAAGTCTTCCCTCCCCATTTTACAGATGAGAAAATGAACTCATTCCAGGTTAGGTGGCTGGCCCTGCCCAGCTTTCCATGTGGAAATGGCAGAACTGAGATGAGCACACAGGTCACCCCTATCCCCTGCGTGGGAGGGAAGACTTACCCCCGTTAATTCACAGTGTTTGTAAAATTAAAATAAATGCACATAAGCACTAATGACAGAGAGAAGGAGAAAGAGATAGATGATAGATAGATAGATAGATAGATAGATAGATAGATAGATAGATAACCCTCTGAGAACAGCCAGAACGTGGCCCTGCCCAAGGACAAGGGACACAACAGGGCAGCCGGCACCACACCTGGTCCGAGAGGACGACAGGTGCCCAAAGCCCCCTCCCCACCTACACGCGGTGGGCGCCGCAGGGCTTCTGGGGTCTGCGTCCTGCCCCTCCTTCCCACACTCCCTAACACTGTCTCGGTGCAATAGCTGACACCTCAGTTAGGTTCCCAAGAACCCTACCTATGGCACCACCCACATGAAGAACATAATTAAACTAAAAACCAACCTTTGAAATAACCGGCAACACACACACAAAACAGAGCAAAACAAACAAATAAACAAACAAAAATCCCACAAAACGTTAGCTAAAGTTCCTTTTTGAGTCCTTTCAGATAATCAGGTCCAAAACACATCGGTAATTATACCTTTTCTACAGCCACCTTCATTCTCCCCAGGAATCCTGACTCATGGGTGCCCAGGCTACTATTTCCTTGTTTTAAATACAAGACCCTGCACCTCAACCTCCCCCCCGTGTGCGCGCGCGCGCACACACACACACACACACACACACCCCTTCCTCGGAGCAGCAGTGCTGCCTGCCTAACTGTCAATCCTCCGCACCCTCGGTGGCTGGGGATCCTGCCAGGACTCCAGCCCCTCCAGGCCGCCAGGACTTCACAGCCATCCTGGTCCGAATCCTTCCCAGGCCTGAGCCAGCCGCTGGGACCAGATGCATTCAAACCCCATCTCTGTCACTTGGTCACCTTCAACGTCAGTTTGCCCATTTGTACAATGGGGATAAACAGCCCTGACCAGTTTGGCTCAGTGGATAGAACGTCGGCCTGCGAGAGCTCTGGGCAGACTTTCGGAACCAGGGCCTGGGCACATCCTGAGCACTCGGTTCTGGCCCTGCATGGGCACAGGGCACAGGGCACAGGGCACAGGGCATTGGCCGCACTTGCACGGGGGAGGCAGGGGTGCCCGGCGGCGGAGCCCATGCCCCTGATGAGAGTCAGATCCACCGGAACTGGTTGAACACCTCCTGGATCTGCCGGAGGTTGATGATCTGGAGAGGAGAGAGGGCGGGTTAGGCCTTGGCCCCGGCCTAACAGCTGTGTCTGATGCCAGAGAAGGAACGGCCCCTCAGCTGGCGGCCCGCAGCCCGGAGGACAGAGGGCACCTGGCCATCGTTCCAAACCGAGCGTTTTCTGAGCGTGAACTCCCTTTCTGAGTGACATCTCCGTGAAACCAACATGGCTCTAGTTTTAAAAATACCCAGAACAGCCTGTCTACCAGAGGTGATATGCAAATTAGGCCGGGACTCCTAACGGCCAGACAGGAGGCTGTGCACACAGGTGAGACTCGGGCAGCCGGAGCGGACGCAGGCAGGGCCCAGAGGGGACAGAGGCGGGGGGCTGGGGACACTGAGAGTCAGGCGTGGGTCCCGGCCCCCCGAGGGGCTCCTCCTCGTGCGATGGGGCCTCAGTTGGTAAATAAAACATGTTGTACCGGGGAAAAAAAAAAAAAAAAAGGAACGTCGGCCTGCGGACTGAAAGGTCCCAGGTTCAATTCCAGTCAAGGGCATGTACCTTGGTTGCAGGCACATCCCCAATAGGGGGTGTGGAGGAGGCAGCTGATTGATGTTTCTCTCTCAATGATGTTTCCAACTCTCTCTCCCTCTCCCTTTCTCTCTATAAAATAATCAATAAAATATATTATTTTTTTAATGGGGATTAACGCAGTTTCTTTATCAAAGGGCTGTTGCTGAGAGTCAACACAAAGGACTTAGAAAAGTGGCTGACCCAGAGGAAGGGCCAAAGAGCTATCACAGCTTTGTGGATGGAAAAGGCACCACATGCTACTGACCAGCTCAGAGGAGGCCTGCCGGGCAGCTTTGAAAACTCAGGAGACCTAAAGTCACCACAAAGGATAGTCTGAAATTAGAACTGTAACTAAAAGCAGTGATGGGGAGAAACCAAAATGGCAGCGTAGGTAAACAACTGAACTGCCACCTCGCACAACAATTTTTTTAAAATATATTTTATTGATTTTGTACAGAGAGGAAGGGAGAAAGATAGAGAGCCAGAAATATCGATGAGAGAGAGTCATCAATCAGCTGCCTCTTGCACACCCCCTACTGGGGATGTACCAGCAACCAAGGTACATGCCCTTTACCGCAATCGAACCCGGGACCCTTCAGTCCCCAAGCCGACGCTCTATCCATTGAGCCAAACCGGTCCCGGCTCGCACAACAATTTCAAAACTACAACTAAAAGACAAAATGCCTATCACCCAGAACCACGGGAAAGCTGGCTGAATGGAGGTCTTACAGCTGGAAGGAGAGAGAAAGGAGCACAAACACTGAAAAGCTGAGGGACGGAGGCACACAAATCGGGCAGGTGGTGGGCGACTGGGTGTGTGGCTTTTTTTCAACCCGAAGTGAGACAAGCACCCAATCTCTTTGAAATCCAGTTTCTGAGGAGAATTGGGGGACCCACATATCTACAGAGAGAAGCTGGACTGTCGGCCGTCGGGTCGGAAAGTGAGGGTGACTTTTTTGCAGAGGTTCGTGCAGCAATCATTGTTTACTGCGCTGGAGCACGGGGACTGGGGGACTTGGAAACTCGGAAAGGCAGAGAAGACTGATGGCAGCCATTGCTGTTTACACACACACACACACACACACACACACACACACACACACACATACACACCCCCATCCCGAGACCCCGCCTTGAGGCCCTGCCCCACACAATCTACAAACCCTCCCAGGCTTCACACAGCAGCTTTTGCATATAAATGGCTGGCCCTGTGGCAGCTTAAGAAAATAAACTGCAGCTCCAGTCGGACTGCTCCAAAACCGCCAAACCCCAAGCAAAGAGGAGAAAACTGTGGTTCTCACTGTAGCTCCTGCTGGCTGGCCTCAGACAGTAGCTGACCTGCACCCCATTAGAGATCCAGAAACTAGTGTATCTAGTTGTTGGTATGAGATGACAACAGATTTCAACTACTCTCATAAGGGACACATTCAAGAGACAGACTCAGTGAGCACCAAAGCCCTACGGGAACAAGTCCTCCCTCATAAACGTGTCTCCTGCACAGCAATTCTTCCGTTATAGAGAAAGCGAGTCCTCACAGCCAATTGGCCTAGAGGTCAATTCCTCCCAGTGACACCAACAACACTCAAGACTTTACTACAACAAGGCTGTACACACAGTCCACAAAGGGGTGCACTAAGAGTGTCCACCTCACATAACAGGGAGGCTGACTCACTGAACCATATAGGATACCCAGCACACAAAGCTACCCTACCAACTCAGGGAAGCAAAAATGAGGAGCCTAGGAAACAGATCACAAATTAAAAAAATA